TTAACGCGACTAGGAAAACTGAAACATGTTCCAAACGTCGAAAGAATTCGATAAAAGGCTTGAGTTTAAACTGTAAATCTTCCTTTAAATCACTATTCGATGCTCTTTCTCTGTGTTTCGCAACTTTGCGAAATAAATCACGCTTATTTAATTTTTTATTTATTTTTGAACTCTCGATTCAGATCTTACTATTCTTCTTTCGGTACAGCTTATCCGCTGTACATTACAAAGGTTGCCTTTCATACCTTGTTTGAAGACGAACATGCCAGAGTGTTCGGGGAACACCGGATTTCTGAGGATGGGAAATTCAGAATAGGCTATTACATATATAGTTTCATGAGGACCGTATTTCAGCAAAGCACATACATGATTTGGGGAGTTAATTTACTTATCTGATAAACTGTTATGCTGGTGGTAGGGCATGTTGATGAACAAATAGGTAATGCGTTTCAGTTTGGAGAGTTGGACAGCCGTTGTACTTTAAAACTGTGACTTAGAGCTCATAGCTCAAGGTCCATTTATTTGTCCTCTCGTCTAAGATATAAAAAAACATAATTGATTCATATTAAAATTGTTTTTATTTATTTTTTGTATTCTATGTGAAATGTTATTGTTAATTGATATAATATGGATGCAAAATCTGAATTAAATGAAATAAATTTTTTAAATAAATTAATTAAATATTCAAATACTGTAGAGTTATAATACACATATATGTTTTAAATTATTTTATTTACCGCAAACAGTAATAGCGGACGTACTGCGTGTTTTCACCGTATTCAATTTGTAATTCAGAAATAGTTTAAATACGTTGAATTTTAACGGGATACAGACAGAGTTGCTTGTGTCACTTCGTGGTATATAAGCTATTAGCTATACCCGTCCGCTTCGCTGGGCATTTAAAATTAACATTACTATTTCTCACCCCCCCAAAGGTTCTCATCATTAATTTATAAGTATAATAACATCCATTAAATAGTGGAGAAATCAATAATAAATTACAGTTTTCGAAGCGAAGCGAGGGCGGGTCGCTAGTTTTCAAATATTCTGATGACTCTGTGGTGACTTCGTAGCAATAATCGACTGACAACATTAACATAGAGAATATCTGTGGATCAGAAATTATCGGATCAACGATCGTGTACAGGCCTAACCCTGTCTCAAGATACGCCCCTGTAGAAATTAGAAAGGTTGTCCGGGGACCAAGAAATTATAAACTTTAACTTTTTCCAACAATTTTACGTGACGATATTCGTCGTCGACAATAATCCGTCGGTCGACCTTATCACGGATTGTTTTCGTAATCGACTCAAACAAGTTTGTAAGTGATTAAAGTATTTAATCATATTAGGTACATTTAATTATACATATTAGGTACTGTGATAAATGAATAATTCCTTTACAGAAGACTACAAATATTTGAGGTTATGTAAATGCGCATTATTTTTATAGAAATACTAGCTGTACTCGTCTGCTTCGCTGGGCATTTCAAATTAACATTATTATTTCTCACCCCCACAAAGATTCTCATCATTAACGCCCCCGCAACTGGTGTAGGGAGTCCAACACTCATATAAATATTAGCCTATCCATTAAGTGCATGTATTTTCTACATGGATACCGAGAGTTTCAAGTCGATCGGATGCATGGTTCAGTAGTTATAACGGAACATCCGTAAAAACCACTCTAGATTTATATATTAGTATAGATAGATCATAAATCTAAATCATAAATCTAAACTATAGATCTATATAAACTATAGTCAATCAAACTATATACTTAATTAGTCGTTTTGCAGATCCGTTAGTACATTAAATAACGAACGCACGGTCATATGAGTCGACTATTATCAAAGCCGGCAATCTGACTTTTGGACAATGATTGGTAAATCAGAAAAACGAATTATTGACTTTGTATTCCATTGGCAGTGACAAAACTCTTCGGAACGACATCTTAGATAAATAACAGGTTAACTATTAACCTTTATTTAGTGCAGGTTTTGAACCGTATTCTTTGAAGGACACGATTATATTCAAATCAATCTGTATTGACATATCAATAAATTGTTTTTTGTCCAAATGCACAGATTGCCACCTTTGATAATAGACGACTCATATTCACTATAGTAGGATAGCAGTAGCATAGTCTTACATACCCGGCGTTCTCCCGGTCACGTCATTTAAAATTATATCAAGTATCTCATGTTTTATTCCAGTTTATGAACTATCTTAGCACAAAATTTCATTCAGTAGCAAACATCTAGATGTACAATAGATTATGCAAGTTTAAAGTTTGTTTTCAGTGTAGTTATTTAAAGGTCAGATTGTGAGCGGGTAAGTTTGTCTGCTCAATTACTATCGTAAAATAATAAATCAAAACAAATAAAAAGGTTTAATAACGCGAATTATGCTTTGTTTTGTGATTCTAAGGTAATCATTTTATTTTGAATAGGATGCACTAGGTGCTTCTACAAGTTAATATTATCTAATAAAAACTGGTTTAAGAAAATATTAGAGCGGTAAACCGAATGATTTGCTCCGTATTACTATTTATTGCGTATTAGTAACCACCCTCCATAGCTGGGCCGAGGGCTTAATACCTAAATACTGCATATGTTCAAAGATATATAAGTAATAAGCATAAATGAGGGCCAAAATAATAAAGCCTCTAATACGATTCCATTCATCCTCTAAACTAAGTTCTCTATTTTCGGATTTCCGGTAATATTAGTTTTTAGCCGCGAGCGAGGACCGACGGACATAGATCTAATGATCAGCCACCTTGTATCCAACTACGTCGATTTCTTTGAATTCGACAAACTTTCATATTTCAATATTCAATCATCAATCATATTTAATCATCATTCAATATATCATAATTCAATGAAAATTCAAATAATAAAAGAGATATTATTGTGTTAATTGTGTGTATTTGACATTGTTCTCTCATTTTGTTCATTAAACATGCTGTAGTAGGATAAACTTTCGTTTGTTTGTGCTATTGTATTATTATTATTTTCCACAAGACAGACATTAAATCATTCTCAATTTTACTCAACCACAAAAATTATCATAAAACATTTTTTTTATTTTGTTACAATTACTTACAATCAATAGAAGTCATATGTGAATCAAACGAGCACGAGCCATTAGGTCGAATTTAAATTGTGTTATCGTAAGCACTGTGCTATCTAAGTAAAGTTGTTCAAACTAATTAATCGATAAGAGCAAGGTACTTATGTAACTGTAGTTTTAAGCTGGTGCACCTAAAAAGTTACTTGTAGATACAACTTTACAGGCAGCCGCTTGGATGTACCACTATTTGCTGTCAATGAGTGAGTCAGAATCAGACGTACACTAATACTTGGAAGACAACAGAAACATTTTATGACTAGATAATTTTTCAAAAAAGAAATTGCAGTTCAGCATCTCAAATATTGTGCAAGAATATCACAACAATAACATAACGAATAACAGTAGGATTTAAAATTACTTCTGTAAAAATAAATGTTATTTAAAATGATCGTTTTCCGTTCGCCTATCGAAATCAAAACAATGTATACATGCATTTCACGGCTATTACACTCATTCAATTGGCGTCTGTAATCGACAAAGTAGCGATACACTGTTCTGCGCGCACCACTGCTTTTAAATGTATTGCTTGTTGTATTATCGGGATGTCAAAATCGACGTAAAATATGGTACGGAATGAAGTTCAAAGCTTTGAAATGAGAATCTCGAAAATTTTCCCGTTTCTCTTTATGTATACGACTACTTTGAGTTGATTAAATTAGAATTGAAATATCGAACGAAGCTTGGATGTATTGTACTGTCTGATATTTTGTTTCTACGAGGATTCGTTGAGGTTTTGGTCGATAGCGCTGTAATAATAATTGGAAAGTAAAAATGTGTGCGTGTACTAGTGTACACACGTAAGAAGTGAAACTTGTTTATGGCCTTATTTTTCGAAAAATGATCTACATGCAACTTTCTAGAAATTGGTTAAATAAAGTTAAATTAGATAAAGTTTAAACAAAAGGATTTTATTATCATAGACATGAATACAAAAAAGTTAAATTAGATAAAGTTTAAACAAAAGGATTTTATTATCATAGACATGAATACAAAAAAGTTAAATTAGATAAAGTTTAAACAAAAGGATTTTATTATCATAGACATGAATACAAAACAGATGGCGCGTAACGGAAAAAAGTGACGCGTAACCGAAAAATGTGACGGTAAATTTTTTTCCAACGCCGATAAGGAAGTTTCACTTCAAAAATGAAAAATAAAGACTATCTAAGGCGTATTGTAATCTCACCTGTATTTGTCGTGAAGCATACATTAAGTTGGTTTGATGCCGATACAAGCGTCTTTCTATACGATTCCGCAGGGCTCATGCTATGCTGTGTACGTGGTTCGGTAACCACATAACACTAGATGGGCCCGCAGCTTGTCTCCTCATTCAGAGGCACTACCTAAAAAAACAGCTCAAAATTGAAGTCGCAAACTCATTCATACACACCTTTTGAAAAAAAGAACTAATAACTGGCTATTAGATTTTTTAGCAATCCAATGAATTAATTCATTCATTCCGAGTAATGTTTTTTACGTCAATGGATGTCACACAGCTGTCCAAGCCAGAGCTTGGTATCCATGAGAGGTTATTGATTGACATCAACCTATGTAAGTACACACTTTGATGACCTTTGAAATTTGATGGTTTAATTAATATGATATCTGTATTCATATCATACAAATTAAAATACGAATATACAATATTAAAGTAATGCATTGGGAACGCGCTAGTGATTTAGTTGTTTTTAATAACGAAATAATATCGATAATTTAGGTATCTTAATTAATTCGATAATTTGTACCATTTTATTGCAATTCATGTTTCGATTCAATGTCAAGAACCCACAACCAGTGGGTTAGATTGATCGTTTATTGAATGAGCTATCAATTACTCTAACAATAAAGCCTAAAAAATATACGAATTTATTCAGCTGTGTTATTTATTATTTTTTCGCAAAGAAACATCGCCGGTCTGTTGCACCGAGTGATTTGTAAGAAACCTTCACTAGTTATGGCTCCACAATGATTTGAGTCTAACTTTGATGTCTGTTCCTCAATATGACCCCAAGTGGAATAGCCTGCATCTTCGAGTGATTGACCTGAAAAATTGTCTTGGACTTCAGAAAATTATTTAGTTACCTACTATGAGTGTGGGAAATTTCATACTCCTCCGTCTACGCAATTTTCGTAAAAAGGGGTACAAAGCTTCACGTATTAAATAGGTTACCGTGAGGATGTAATCACACATCTAATGACATATGAATACAAATTATCTATTTTATTATATTGTAAAGTGGCAATGTTACCCTTCAAACCTATGTGGGCATTTAATTCGTCCTACCAATAATATTTAAGCAAATTTGTAAATTCTGATTTGATTTTGATTTTTTAAGATAAATTTTATTGATTCGTCGTTGTAATTTGAAGTCCTAAAGGATAAGATACCCGGTGCGTTAATATTGAGCGATGCGTCATTGCCAATGTTTCAATTTCGCAGGCAGGTACACTTTTTTCTAATGAGATAAGTACTTGAGAAGTGTACACGAATGACTTCCACGATTAAGGATTAACATCGTGTAATTCAGACAAAATCCGCAAAAAATAGAATTTGTGTAATTATTGATGGTAGGGCGTCTTGTGAGCCCACACGGGTATGTACTACCACCCTGCCTATTTCTGCCGTGAAGCAGTTATATGTTCCGATTTAAAGGGTAGAGTAGCTCTTGTACTATAGAACTAGGACTTAGAAGGCATGTCTCAAGGTGGCGGCATTTACGTTGTTGATGTCTTTGGGCTTCAATAACCATTGCGGTACAGATGGGTTATAAGTTTGCTAACCCGTATATGTAATAAAAAAAGTTGAACACTTGCGAAGTACGTATTTCGTTAGAAAACTTAGTAATTGTCTTCGAGGTTATGGATATAGAGAAAGCCGTATAGGTTGGTACTAATACACNACTTGCGAAGTACGTATTTCGTTAGAAAACTTAGTAATTGTCTTCGAGGTTATGGATATAGAGAAAGCCGTATAGGTTGGTACTAATACACGAGCATCTTTACTTTAAACCTTTCATATTTTACATCGGCATATTATATTTTAGCCTTTTCACTTTATTTTCTTAACTATTATAATTTACCTAATATCGTTCGGTACTGGAAAGGAAACATCAGGTCGCTAAATCCAATAAATAGGATATTGGGGTCTGGTACTTTTCTATCAAGGTTTTCACTTAGCATTTCAGTTATGAATGAGGCTTCGTCTGCTGAATTCACGATTGCCAAGTTTCCTTCTTCGGACTTGCAGATTAAGTATGCGTCATACCAAGATAGGGGCTCCGCGTGAAACTTGTAGCATTTTCCGTTGTTTCTAGGTATATATGCTGAAAAACGTTGTAAACTATTGTAGCACAGAGATGGTATAAAGTATCTATTAGTATTTTATTGTCTAGAGTTTATCATTCCAGTTCTGCTTCTTGTATAGTTAATTCCCAAAATTACATCAGGATTGATAATAGAATTAGCGACGTCATATTGAGTTATAGAATTTCGTATTGGAAAAGGTATTTTTATTAAAGTGCTGTAAAGCCACGGATGAGTTAATGGAGTCGCCTTCAGATATTTATTATTAACTAGCTGACCCGGCAGACTTCGTAGTGTCTCAACCGATAAATAAAAGACCTAAGCTTTTGTATAAAATAAACTAAAAACAAACAAAAGGAATCCGTCCGACGGGGAACACATCAAAGGAAAAAACAAAATTGTTATTTTTATTGAATTCCGAGCATTTTCATATTTATCTACCTTTTAAACCTTCTCTGGACTTCCACAAATAATTCAAGACCAAAATTAGCCAAATCGGTCCAGCCGTTTTCGAGTTTTAGCAAGACTAACGAACAGCAATTCATTTTTATTTAAATAGATTACATTTTCGATTAAACTCTCATGCGCAATTCAATGCAAAGTATGCATGCAAAGCGCTCATGGTCCATCTAATTTTACGTGGGTACCAGAGGCCGTAGATGTCTCTTCTTGAATGCCGTCACCGTCTTGATACATTAGGTCGAAGTCTGAATTGCTTTATACACGGGACGGTGGTACAGGATTACAATATCTAAGCCTCAACAATAAAGCTATATTTAAACTATGCAACTTTTCAGAATTACTTCAGCTATTTGAGGTTGTTCAGCTTCGAAACTAACTAACTAAATTTCGTCAAGGCTACGGCTACCACTGCCGTTTGGAAATGTTTCAAAGCATACCCAAATCAAAGTTATTGCACTTTTCGTTAAATTCAATTTCGCTTCCCAGTATTTTGCAAACGAATGGGTATATATCATCGCAGGGCCGATCGTCCAGTAATCCTTCTCTGGTCATCACAACACAGTGTTCAGTGCCATTGACATTGTCAGGAGAACCCTGTGCCCACAAAAGCTCTATGGTTGTGCCAGCTATTGATTCTCCTGGAATTAAGTTAAATTGGATTGATATATAATGTGATTTGTAGTCGTCGTGGTCTAAAGGATAAGACGCCCGGTGCATTCGTATCAAGTGATATGACTCCTTGCCTATCTCTGCCATGAAGCAGTAATTCGTTTCGGTTTGAAGGACAGCCGTAGTAAAACTGAAACTTGGACTCATGTCTCAAGGTGAGTGGCCGCATTTACGAGGTTGATGTCTATGAACTCCGGTAACCACTTAACACCAGATGGGCGTTGAGATTTTCCATCCGCCTAAACATAAAAAAATGATTTTGTAGTATTGAAATTGAAATTCGATGGTTTATATTTTAAGATATAAATATGGTTTATATGTTTTATATTTTAAGATATAAACCATTGACATGATCGCTAATGCATATTTTTCCATATAAAATTCAGCTAAATAAATAATTGAGTCGCATGTATCCGTATCTGTTTTATATGATAATGATAAAATATGTTAAACACACCTTTTAATGTGACAAAGTTTCCATCTGAGAACTTATCGTGTAATCCCATAAATATCCCAGTATACTGGGCTTTCATGTTGCTCATCAGCAATTTAAAACTTTCCATTTCATCTAATGAGTCCGGTATGAACAAATATGTCCCTTCGGCCTCGCATATTTGTCTGGCTTGATCCCAGTTGGTAGCTAGATCGTTCAAGCGGTAGTACGTCTTGAACATCTGGGCCCACATGTAATCCATGCGGAATTTCTGGGCTGATAACATTTTAGGATTTACTCGATCAGCACTGGCTTATCTAGGTTGATTTTTAATTGTAAGTAATAATTATTAATTCTAAGGTAGTTTCAAATATCCCTCAATTAAATTTTTAGGACATCCTCGTAACGGATGCATTTGAGTCATAAGTGTGGATGGAGGATCTTTGTAAGCAGACTGTTCAGCGGTAGGCAACAGTTTGGTTATGTAACCAGCAATGCCGAAGCTCATGAGCGAATGTGATCACTCACCATCAAGTGGGATGTATACTGGTCTGCGAAAGTAAGAGAAGGAAATGCAGAATAAACGGTAGGCAGCGGCTTGGCTCTGCCCCTGGCATTGCTGACGTCCATGAGCGACGGTAACCACTCTTCATCAGGTGGGCCGTATGCTCGTTTACCTATACGGCAATAAAAAGAAAAAAAATGCGCCAGAGCATGTTAATACACTTGCGTATTTCACACTGGAAGCGTGGGGCTTCCTGGTACATTTTCCGTGTTCTTTGCCAATGATCTGGAGACTCGCTGAAGCTTCTTGTTGTTGTAGTGGCTTTTAGCTTTGCCCAAAGAGCCATATAATTATTTTTATTAGTCTCTTCACAATGACAATACAGACCGACACGAAAGCACTCCATGACACTAAAAAGTATTAAGATATTCATAGAAGTTAATTATTTTCATCGTTATTCCTCTCACCATTTGCACAATAAAAGAATATTAATATATTCGACATTAAAAGATCTTTCATTTTATTTTTTGTCATTCTTGTTCAGAATTAGTACGTGAATGTAATAATATTTTTGCTAGTTATTTTTGAACTTGCATGTATTTGATGGCTTTAGTGAGAGTGCAACTACAAAATAATACCATTCCATTCGTTACGAGTTTTGAATCGATTAATTAAAATTAGAATAGGTTTTTTTTTTTCAATTTAAAATCTTGCATATTCTTTTTTTTTTGTAAAAAAAGAAACAAAATTGGCCGTAGGTAACTCAGAGACACATTCAAGTGACGTTCGGTTTCAATTGGCCGCTATCGGTTTCACTCGATCGAATTTAAGATTTCTCTGTATCAGCCGCCGTGATCGCAGTACGGCGCAGACCACCCGCCTCGGTCCTTCTTGCACGCTTATTTGAATCCCCGTTCTGAGCGGCTTCCTCTTCTGTGAGTGTCAGGTAATTATCTGTGTGGCATTCCAATTTTACGATCGAACGGTTAATTCAGTTTAAATCTCTTCGTGTAATACGTAGGCAGTGCCTAATCCTAGTCCCTCGGAGTCGGTTCTCAAGTCCGGAGCNAGTACGGCGCAGACCACCCGCCTCGGTCCTTCTTGCACGCTTATTTGAATCCCCGTTCTGAGCGGCTTCCTCTTCTGTGAGTGTCAGGTAATTATCTGTGTGGCATTCCAATTTTACGATCGAACGGTTAATTCAGTTTAAATCTCTTCGTGTAATACGTAGGCAGTGCCTAATCCTAGTCCCTCGGAGTCGGTTCTCAAGTCCGGAGCAAGTTCGTTAATGTGGAGTACGTCTTTGTGTTTAAATAACGTCGTATTTTATTGGAGCTAATTAAAATAAATAATATTTACAATGCTAGTTTAAAGAAATAAATTTACATTATCGTTTTCAAAATCTTCTGACATTAATAACTGACGTATAGTTGTTTGTTTTCGTTCTCTATTATAGCATTCTTCAACATATTCAGGAAGAAACTAGCAAAAAAAGTAGTTGACAAAAACATTCCGCGTTAATTTGATGTTGTTAAAGCCGTTTTTTACTGGTGGTAGGACTTCTTCTGAGTCCGCGCGGGTGGGTACAACCACTCTGCCTATTTCTGCCGTGAAGCAGTAATGCGTTTCGGCTTGAAGGATGGGGCAGCCGTTGTAACTATACTTAAGACTTTAGAACTTATATCTCAAGGTGGATGGCGCATTTACGTTGTAGATGTCTATGAGCTCCAGTAACTATTTAACACCAGGTGGGCTGTGAGCTGGTCCACCCACCTAAGCAATAAAAAAAAGCCGTAAAATCATGCAAATGCCTCTGATTAATATGAACAAGATATTTTGCCTTAAATATCAATAAATATTAAATCCTTATTCCAAAATGAATCATTTTACTATTGAAAGTTGCAAAAATGTAATTAGAAAACGTATCACCCAAATAAATTCCATATTGACTTTTTTCGTATTAAAGTGAAATTAAATTAATTTTCAATGAAATCCGATTCCATATTAGTGTACCGTAGTATCACTGAACAAGTTCGGTGCCAACTCATCAGGCGCACTGGGTTGGGATCTGATAAAAGTTGTCGGAAACTTTCTTTTGCGATATCGCCACCTTCGTCATGTAAATTGGACAACTTGCGGTAAAGATGATGGCTAACCATTAGCAAAATATATGAATTAGTTCTACTTACATGAGATAAAATTTTGTTATTATAGAAGGCTTCATGGTTGTTTTTCTAAATCTATTTTTGAACAAGAAATAGAGAATATTTTTTTATTTTCTTTGTTAGAATTTGTTAGTCATTTCTAATACTCTATTATCTATAGTTATATTCAATTAAATATTGTTTTTTTTTCTCCAAAATTAGTTTTTTGTGATGCTTATTTATTGTTTTTGCCTTACAGAAATGATTCCAATCCAACCATTTATCCAATCAATCCGATCATTGTACTAATGCCATCGATATTTCAAAACAATTCACGCTAGGCGGCATATATTGACCTTATGATATCCACGGGCCTTGGTTCTTGTTCAACAACAGACTCTCTATTACTTTTTGTGATGGCTTTAACCAGTAAAAAAAAATGTTTATAGAATTGAGACTCCAACGGTATTCTTCACGGTGGAAATGACATAATGATGGTTATGGGCTTGTACAAAATTTAGGGATGTGTTTTTTTTTTTTTACTATTAATAATAATAATAATATAACTCTTTATTTAGCACCATATTATGTACAGAGTAAACTAATAAAACAAATAAAAGTCGGTGATATAAATTGGCGGCCTTATCGCTGAAAGCGATCTCTTCCAGGCAACCTTGCAGGGGGAGGAATAAGTGAACTGGACGGTGCTATATCTTAATAAACTTACATAAAAATATATACTTATATACACATGTGAAAAATAAATACCATATAAGATAAACTTACATACGATTAAATACAAATAAATACTAAAAATATACAAGATAAAATACAAAAGAAGTACATAAGTATTAACAGAAGAACATTAGTATTAACATAAGTAACTAAGTGACTAACAAGAAATACAAAAGTATTAACTTCATTATACAATTTTACATTGTTAGGGTTTTCGCATTAAAGGAAACCAAACACGTTTTTTCTTTTTCAAGATTCATTTACCAGCTAGAAACCAGATGAAAAACAAACGCACTTTTCAAATTAATGAAAATGTTAATTCTATAATTTTGGAAACGATACATTTGTAATCGCAATAAACTATTCTTCGAAAAGTTCCATCCCTGAACTTAATTTTCTGAAATATAGAGCGTGAATAATCGAAAAACAAACCAACAACTTGAAACTATTTTGTAAATTCGTTTTGTAAAGTCTCCGAAAAGATTTCACATCAAAGGTTCAAAACTTTTATTTATTCAAAGGGTTCACTGGAAAGTATTGCTTACTTCAATATAATGAAGCGCGTATCCAAACTCTGCCTTTAACAGATAAAAGTTTTATTGAATCGAAGCAGATCTAAAAAGTAAGCAACCGTCGTCGATACTTTTATCCTTTTCAACCCGGTTAACCCGTAAACCATCTCAGTTTAAGGAGGCATTAAATCGCAACTCAAACAAGAACCGTTACACTGAAGTTAACTCACATATTGCTTTGTGTCACGAACGTTAAAGCGAACCGAGTATAGTTGAAGAGATGCTAAGTCTGAGTGAGATGGGGCATGCTGTATGGGAGAATGGGTGTGGAGGGCGTAAAAGGAGAAAAACTACATCGCTAAAAGTGAATGCGGTCGAAAGCCGCGCTTATTTTCTGCGCTAAGTGCATGGATTTTTATATGAAGCAGCCAGCTCATTTCTGTTTATAAATGCTCGGATGTAAAATATTTCGTCTGAGCTGATTTTTTTATTCAATACACCTAATANGATGGGGCATGCTGTATGGGAGAATGGGTGTGGAGGGCGTAAAAGGAGAAAAACTACATCGCTAAAAGTGAATGCGGTCGAAAGCCGCGCTTATTTTCTGCGCTAAGTGCATGGATTTTTATATGAAGCAGCCAGCTCATTTCTGTTTATAAATGCTCGGATGTAAAATATTTCGTCTGAGCTGATTTTTTTATTCAATACACCTAATATCAAGTATGATATTTTAAATTATAAATATTTGAAATTTAGTGAATCACATTCATTGAATTACGATTTAACAAAATCAGCTAAAACCTAGACCTCTAGGAGTTTTAGGATTGTCTCGTTTAACTTATTTCGGCAGAGAAGAAAAAGAGATGGAACTTTTTGATGGTCTTAAATTTATCTACAATTTACCTGTACCTAAGTTGATAAGTAATGTATTTCAAAGTGTTGAATACACTATTTTAAATTCTTCTAGATTTATAATATGTTAAAACCGAAAAATTAATTAATATTGTTGATTTTACACAATGTCCAGTTAATTACGCAAATGCACGATGCGGTTCGCAGCCCGTGACGACAGATAATTAGGCTTTTAAACTTGGACCCGGCAAATTGATCAGCCATTAAAAGCGGGCTTTTGTCTGATAGATTATCGGAATAACGCGATATCAATCTGCTCTATAATCATATTGTTCCTAAGTGCTGACTCTAAATAGACGGCCAAAGTATTTTTAAAAGAAATTTATTTATTAAAATTATTGAGAAGATTTAAAATGTCGGAAGGAAATCTACAAGCAAGTGATAAGTGCAGAAATATAAATATCGTCAATTGATAATTATATTATGACTAGCTGGCCTAGCAGACTTCGTAGCATCTCAATCGATAAATAAAAGACCTAAACTTTTGTATAAAATAAACTTAAATCAAACAAAAAGAATCCGTCCGACGGGGGACACATCAAAGGGTAAACAAAATTGTTATTTTTATTTAATTCTGAGCATTTACATATTTATCTACCTTCTAAACCTTCTCTGGACTTCCACAAATAATTCAAGACCAAAATTAGCCACATCGGTCCAACCGTTCTCGAGTTTTAGTAATTCATTTTTATATGGTTGCCAATTTCTTCGCAACAATGTTTTTGCCGCCGTTGTAATAATGTGTTTGTATCCTAAGAACCCCTCATAGATATTGACAGTTTCCAGACAATAGCCAAGGTCAAAATGAATATGTCATGGCGCTAAGCGAGTACCGTAAAACAGAGTACATTCCAAAGTCTAAATGTACATAATATGTAGCAGAAAAGATCAATAACAATACACTGTCCTTGAAATCAGTTATTTGAGTTAGAATGGGTCCACGCTACTTTTTTTTGTAT